TTTTTTTCTAAAGAAGGAAAATGTAAAAAGAGGTATTCAGCTGAGAGAAAAACCCTCAACAATAGATGTTTTTATTTTTCACTGGCTTGGAAGCTGTTACGAATTTCTAATTAGATGCAACTACTTGCTAGCATTGCTATGAGAGTACAAACTATATGTCATAATTGCTTTTCAAAATTTCTTCTGAAGTAGGCATACACTGATATTTTCAGGAATGATGTGATGCATCATTCTTGCACATTTTGCCCTGGGCAGATAACAAATGTCTGATAAATAATGCTGTGTGAGATGTGTGAGTCTATGGGGTATGGACTTCCTTATCTTTTTCCTGAGTTCAGTTAATAAAACTTATATTAGATCATATAGCCCATATGCTGAAGTAGATGTACTGTAGCTCCCACACTCTTTAATTTCCCCAAAAAACATCTGGTTACAATGAACAGACAGAGAAGCATCTTTGCAACACAAAGAAAAGGAAGTCTGGTTAGTACTCTTCTGCTGCTTCACCAAGGTGCAGAAAGAACATTTCTGCTTGTTGATAATAAAGTACTGTATGAATATGAATGTGGACTCAAAACATGCATGAATCAAACTACCAGTTAACCAAAATAAAGTGATACAGGGAGTTCCAGAAATGTAGAAATATCAGATTATAAATCCTGAAGGTCAACAGCTGTGTTTGTGCTGATCCTCGTTCCATCACTCTCCAGCAGGATGCAAATGTGTCCACAGAACTTGGAGTACATAGCCATTAACTGGTCCTGCCTGGGGAGAAGAGACCCCCCTAGCAACAGGCAGCCACACCTTGGTTCTCCATTAAAATGATATTAAAATACTCCTATCCATTTTGTGGGTTGTGTCAGAACTCCTTCATTTAAAACACTGAAGTGAAATGCATAAGAAAGATGGATGCAAACAAGTCAGTTGCTTTGACTCCTTTGCCATTTAGATTTGATAAGAGCAAAGAAGAGGGAAGTCAGTTAGTGCAGTCCTCTAGGTGAAGCAACCCCTGAGACTGGAGCTTTTATCTAACAAACACTCGAGCAAGCTATGATCTGTCCCCATTGCAACTTTTCAGCACTCTATTGTGGTTTTCATATAAAAGCACTGTATGCAGCCAAAGCAAGGAAGCAGAAGCCAAAGTAAGTAGATTTCTCTTCATCTGGAAACTGCAAATTAAACTAGTATTTTTTCCCTCAACTCCAATAACTTCTTTCTTGCAGAAAGAGAAGAGCATGCATTGGATTGCTACTATCATATTATAGCTTTTTTTTTTTTTTTTAACCACTCTGCAACACTTAGTGATATTAGCAATATCTTTGAAGAAGAGCTGATCCTAATTTTGTTTAGTCACTGGATAATTTAAATGTACCATGCCCTGAGAACAGTTATTAGACTTGATTTTAAAAGGCCTTCAATATGATGCAACTGAAATGTTTTCCTTTTTTAATACAGCAAAGCTATTGATTTGAAAAAGAAAAATGTCAAATTTATTTGTCTCCAAGACACAGCAACTGCTAAATAAGACTTCTTATATTTACTTTTCATGTTAGGCAGACAATTTATCTTCAAGGTATTCCTCTGTGGAAATTATAGTTTGGTCACCTTTGATAGGAAAATCTGTTTTGGCAGAACTTCTGTTTATTTTGTAGTTTAAGTTCCAGATGACTTTGAGAATGTCAAGCTGTCATCCTAACCTCCAATACTAATGCTGCTTCTTATTTATTTTTTACTGATATCATAAATATTAATAGATTTTGCATCTACACAGTGTTTTTCATCCATGAATTTCAGTCTTTAAAAACTGAAAAATTCTCTTTCTCTCTGACAAGTAAAGGATTTTAAGCACAGATTTACAGATGTACCCTTAGCTTAGTGGCTTACCTACATAGTGTATTTGAGTGGATTCCTTGAGCAAGCCCCATGATACATAGTTGAGTAGTGTCTGTCCTTGTGGTGATTAAACCATTTCACCCAGTGTCACCCATCCAGTGAGACTACTTCAGATCGCCATATGTAACCACTATACCTAACTACTAAGTTCAACTATCTGTTCAAGTGGAAATTATTTACCCTTTTTAAATAACACTGAGCTTTGAAACCCAGAATGAAAAGCAAGATTTCTCTGATAGAAAATGAAGTAAGAATTCTGAAGCCACTGGGTGTCACTGCTTGACTGCATTTTGGTATAATAAATATATGAAAATCTGCAAGAGCTAAAAATAATCTGCAACAACTCTCAGTGATGCTTCATCTGGAAAATGCTTAATTGCTTGTTCAACAAACAGCATTTGTTATCAGTATTACAAGTACCAAAAACTTTCCACTTTGTTTGCAAAATTATAGTTCTGAAATACCATATTCATTTTGACAGGTTTATTTTTCTGTCAGCCTTTAAAATATAGAATGTTGTTTTGTAGTAAATGATTGGAAGAGTTTTGGAATACAGAGACTCTCCAAGGTGGGAGAGAAAAAAAGGATTTTTATATGAACAGAAATAATTTGCACTTCCTTCTTATCATAAAATGGCCTGGGTTGAACAAGACCTCAAAAACCATCTAGTTTCAACCCCCCCTGCTATCTGCACGAACTAGACCAGCCTGCCCTTGAATGCCTTCAGGGATGGGGCATCCACAATCTCTTTAGGCAACCTACTTTAGTGCATCTTATTTTAAGCATCTTCAGATTATCAGTTTGCTAAGGCATATGGGTTTTGAAAAAACAGCAGAAATCCTGAAAAACAAATGAAAATCTAGAAGGGATGTGATATTTATATGTGGTATTTACTCTTTCCATTTCTAGTTTTTCATTTTAAAGATGGTGTTTATATAATCTAAATGCTGCTGCTGGAGAGCAGGGACAGAGCCTGCAACCTGTAACAAAATCTTCCTTTGCAGTGGTAGTTTGAACTGAGCCAGAATGCATTTGTAGCTTTACTGAAACACTAAATGGACATATTATGCATTATGCATATTATGCATATGATAAAAGGACATATGAAGAAAAATATTAACAGTTTAAAATACTGTGAATCAGTGCCTTATGCAGCATCGTTTCACGATCTTGAGGTATCGGTATCCCTGGCATGGTGGCATAGATGTAACTCAAGAGAGGAACTATTTAAACATGAAACAACACCAGCTGGAAAGATGTAGGAGCTGTACGGACAACAAACTCAGTATGCTTCTGAACTCTAACGTGTAAACTAGGGAACTGAAAAAGGGAAGAGATTGGCAGAGAGCATATGTAGGCAGTCACAGAATCTGCAGAGAAACAAAGCAGAGAGAAAAGGTGAAATGGTGAAACATGAAACAGTGCCCCCAGGAAAGGAAAATCCCCTTGGAAATTATAGATTGAGAATGTGTAGAGGAGAAAGACAGACTGAAAAAGACAAATTTCATACAGCAAAGGTTAAGGTACAGCAAAAGCATTCTGAAAATTACACTTTCAAGTGAAGGAGCGCCGATAAATACAGTAAAGACACAAAAAGAAAGGAGGACACGTAAGGGATACTTGTTTCGCTGTGTTATGTTTCAAAATCTATGCTTTTCAAAATATTTCCAGTACACAGATTTAAGGGAGATTTTTTGAAAATGCATTCATAATGCATTGGTTATTTAAATTTCCATAGACTGCTGTAATTTCAAAGGTTGTTATATATCAAATAGAGCTCGCTAAAGACCTTCCCAAGTGCAGTCTTTGGACTTTATGCTAATCAATTCTCGCAGAATTGTTGCTGTTCTTTCATACCTTGCACTGAAATATCAAACGAGATTCAGTATTATTTGGATACTGTTTTTGTAGCAATTTTTGAAGTACAAGGTTAAACGTGATGCAACAGCTGGTGTGAATTTAGATATAGTTGGATAAGGATGATGATTCTCCAATTGTAGGCCAAATTTCTTGGAACTTTTCAGTAATAGCCTACACATCCACAGAGGTCTTTCTGTTTCAGACAACACACGTCTACCTACATACACCTCACATATTGATCTCAGCCTGATTTCACAACAACCTCATTTTTGGGCATGGATTTAGCTAGCCACAGCTATACAATGCTTACATAGGAGTCAGTGTACGCTGTCTTCATGCTTCTTTTAAATGCATCACTATTGTTCTGCACCCTTGGTTACATGAAGGCTTTCTCAGAAAGCTTCACGTCCTGTCCCACCACGCTCATGGAAGCTGAGTGCCAGTGAACTACATTTCACTTAGAAATTAACTTTCAAGTCAGCACACGACCACAGGTTTGAATGCTGGAAAGAAACACACTTTGAAATTGCACACTCAGCTAATAATGGTGGAGGTAAGTGAAAGCAATTGAATTGTTTAGGGGAGAAAGATTTATGAGGGGAAATTTAGCTACAGCCTTAACTGGATAAGGAAAGAAATTACAGGAGGGTAACGCCAACAGCACAAGTACAATTGCTCACAAAGCAGCAAACATGAACAATACGTGCCTTCTTCCTTTGAACACGAAAAGCAACATCTTTGTCTGAATTTAAAATTGGTCAGTCTGTCAGCTCAGACTCCTAAATCTTTATTAGCCCATTTTTCCTTCCAGGTTCCATTCCTGCAAGGCATTTAAACTCATGCCTACTTTTAAGCACGGAAGAACTGCTGTTGAAGGCAATCTGAATTCCAAATTAGCCATATATATTTTACTACTCTGCCAAAGAGGAGCTTTGAATAACAGTATCAAAGAGTTGGATATTTTATTCCCTTTACATTGATTAACCTGAGATGAGTGTATGTCTCAAAGCTGCTGGAGTGGCTGCTCAATCTATCATCCCAACTATTGACCATCCTGTGTTCTTTTTGGATGGCAGTTCAGAATAATGTGACATCAGAAAGAGTGATTTATGGTATCATTTTACAGATTTGTGGAAGCGCCAGTCACTTATATACAGGCCCAGGATTTGATAAAAGCTCTAACGCAGAGGTTGCTAGTATTTATGGTGCAATATATCCAGAAGGCTTAGAGTTGCTATCATGTTGCCTGGTGCAGTTTTCCTCTTGACTTTGAGATATATTATCCTGTTTGATATAGATAGAAAGGCTTGATTTGGTGAAGGCTGCAGCATAATGCTGCAGTTAATGGCATGTTGGTAATTATTTATAAAAATCACTGAGGGAAATGCAGGAAAGGTGAAGCCTTGAAATACCTGGGCACAGAAGTCCTTTGGCCTTTTCCTTGGGACAGCTATTTCTGTAGCTCTGGAATAAAGCAGAGTGAACTTTACCCCACCACGTCTCTGGCATTCTTCCTCCCACATGTAGTGAAAGCAACTTTGCAAGCAGAAGGTTAGTTGTGGCTTTTTCCACCTTTAATCCTTGACCTTTCATTGAGACTGCAACCAATTAGTGTCAATTGAGATTTTTATTTTTTTTTCTTCGTGAAAGCTGGAGACAGAAACCAGCAAACACCTTATACATAATAGAAGATGCTGCAAATGGCTTGTAGGCAGGAAGATTTTCAAAGGTTGATGGTCTGCACACTTGTTTTTTAATTCCCTGGATACCAAGCTGCTGGAATATAAACTTCCCTCTTCCTTATCTTCTGTTTTCTGCTCATGTTAATAGACTTGAAGACAATTTTGTGAGGACTTGAAGTAGCATTACAAACAGCAGCAATCTCCCTATGGCTGGAGACATCTCGCAGACCTTATGGAGAAGTCTTTTATAAAACGTTTTGCAGAAATCCTGTCTCAATAGCACACATACTTCAGTCTGTGCCAGTGCTCCAGCTTACCCTTACTTTATTAACATTCCCGTCATCAGTTTCACAGCAAAAGCACAAGTTCAGTGGATGTTGCTTTTAAACGTGCTAATGTAGGGGTTCCCTGAAACCAAGGGATATTAAATTCTGTAAAACCTGCTTGATTTTGTTGTGCAGGAAAGAAATGCATTTATACAACTCAGTAACATGTTCTGGAGGCCACTGACAGACTTAGATGGCCCTACTGAATGTGCAGCTGTGTGGAGACACTGCCTTCCTGCTTGCCAAAAATCCTGCAGTTCCTGGGAACAGCTCTGATGTACCTGCATTGTGGTCATGCTCTCTGGCACATGGTATTATGGCCTGACCTTCAAGAAAATTCTTCTTTGGGTCTGTCAGATGGGGTCTATTTAGTGCTCACAAGCTAACTTTTGACCTTCATGAAGCAGGTGGAAAAGGAAGGTAATTAACATAGCAAAAAGAGTGCACAGCCAACAAAACCAATCAATAGCACACCTTTTTAATGTTCTGTTGCAAATACGAGCTATGTACCTTTTCCCCAAGAGACAGCGAACATGTTAAAAACAGTATGGGATGAATACACACTGCATACTGATGAGGGAAGCAATCTATTCCCCTCAAAATACATTTTACTTACTTTTATATACACTTTTGTGAAGGTCAACTTTCCATCATTTAGAGTCTGAAATACAGTTAAGTAACATTTAGTTAATTTCATTATTCTAGATTTTTTTCTTAGGTTTATTTCACCTCCCCTCTTCCCCTCCCCATCTTTTTAAGAATAGCAATCCTGAAACCCAAATTAATTTTGTCTACTTATGCCAATAAAGACATAAGGATCAGCCCTTATGTTTTACTTTAATGAGCATTCAGATGATACTCTCTGTCTACTGCAGAGACTGCATAACCCTTCCAGACTCTCCTTCTGAGAAGAGGTAGTTTGAATTTGAATCATATATGCTACCTGCTGTGCTTACTGCATCTCCAGAGCTAATGACTGCTATTTTTGCCCAATTGCTTTCTGCTTGTGTACTGTGTGGAAAAAGTTGCAAAGTGATTTTAAATATTTAAAGAACCAGGAAGAGAGCATATTATTTAATAAAATTATTCAACCTACTGCACTTCCACTGCATCTGAAGGCTGACAAACATTGTCACAACTTGTTCTTAAACAAAACAAACTAATAACAGGTAAACTACTTGAAAGCAAAAATGAGCAAATTTTGGGCAACCCAAAGCCCAAGTTGAGGTTAAAGTTAATGCACTAGATCTAAGGAACTCTGAGCAGCAGGGAGGAAAGTGGGGAAAAGGTGAACAGCAGAAACATTAAAATACAATGTGTGAAACAAAAGGAAATGAGAGGGAATAAGCAACCAAATGTATAAACTGGCATGTGGTTGTGTAATGCAAGGATTAGCTTGCACTGGAGAGAAGACTGAGATCAGAAAGCAAAACAAAATCAGTGAGATCAGAGAGAAAGATGCTGAAGGAACAGGAGATTATGACAATATCAGGCAATGAAATAGAGAAGACTCGTGATTAAAAAAAGGAAGCTTTGGCAGGCAGCTAATAACAGAGGGGAAAATAAAAAGCAAATTTACAGGTAAAATAGCAAATCCAGAAAAAGAAATTGCCAACTGGGAGAGGGGATCTGAGGACAGAACAGCCCGTTCATGCCTAAGAAAAAGGACACATTCTCACACATCTTTCTCTAGTGGTGGCACCAATGACAGAAGTTTTGATATGAAAGATGAGCACAGGGATCACTTATGATTAATTTTGTGAGACAGTATATGCCTTCTATGATCTCACATAAGTCAGTTTCTACCAACTGATGATGTTTGTATTACACTCTTTACTATATTCCTACTCTTCACAAATCTTTGATTAATATTTGTCTTCCTGGGAAGCATTAGTTGATGTTTTAATCCTTCTTATGAACTCATGATGCTTTTTTGCAGTAACCTGGTCTTGACCTAGCTCAGACCAACAGCCACTCTAATAACAACTTCTCACTGATAGTCTTTATTTCATGGACAATGTATTACAGAATCATTAAGGTTGAAAAAGACCACTAAGATCATCATAGTTCAACCATCAACTCATCAAAGAATCAGTCAGTTTGAGCTGCTGAACTAAATCAGCTGCCACTCTATCTTACATGTAATGGAAGTGTCCTTCAGTTAAGATAATTTCTAGGGAAAGAACTCTAACACCCAGGAAGTCTCTTTTAGGTTCAGCTCCTCCTGATGCTTTTGCATCTTGCTCCTCAGCAGGAATCTTACTCTAGCTTTGTAGCCAGCCCTAAGGAACTGGACTCTATTAAGTAGATCTTATTTACTTCAACTGTTTAAAGAGATTATATGCCATTTACACTTTTCTCATCACATCCAGGAACAAAATTTACCTTCTAGACTGCACAGGTGAATATAACTGCAATAATTTTTAGACTACATTAAACTCAGCCAATATAGGGAACAGTTTGCTAACACTAACAATAGCTAAGGCTGTTCCTTGTTGCCATGATTGCCACCTGAAGGACGTAAATGAGTTCCTGGCAGCCACCTCACACTGAGCACACATTCCTCTGATATCCAAAGATGCACTGCTCTGATCCACAGCAAAATGAATCCTAGAACGGGCATCTGGCCTCAGCTGTTTCCATTTTTCTTCACTGGGTTCTCAAGTAGAGCAGGTGCTAAAAACAGCTGGAAACCTTTTGGAGCGTCTTCAATAAACAATTCTGCCAGGCTCAGCTGCAGAGACTATCTGGCTGCTAAATTCCTTTCATTTGAAGTTTATCTAAAGAATTAGTAGCTGCCAAATAAGCATAAGACAACTGCAACAGGTGATGAGCATTTCATTTCTTGTAAGAAAATCCTAGCAGCCTGTTCCTCAGATAAAGACTCACCCCAAGTCACTTCTTGAGCTAGAACAAGGCATGTGGATTATGTCTGAGATCTGCAATTACTTTCTGAGTGCTATTTAACATTTGCAGAGCGTAAGTATGCTGAAAACACTCCTTCCTGATGTTGGTTTGCATATTTTAGTCCCAGTTTTGTTAGCACTCTGCTGGAATACGCTAATGCCTTGATTAAGGAGCTTCAGGATTCTGCTGTGGATGAGCTGAGGGTTGTGTGAAATCTCACTGGTAGGAAAGGCCAAGCTGGAGCTGCACTGTGACTCTTCACAGGACTTCAAATTGAGTGCCAGCAAAATTCTTCACTGGTTTCAGAAATATACGAAGGATTTAACTAAAATGTGCTTTGTATGAACTGAAACTTTTTTTCCCATGGAGCTTTTACTATTACTCTCACTAGATATTTATATTCCAGTTGAATTTAATGCCTTGGTGTGGATCAAGTCCTGTAAGGAGGTATTTTTTCTTCCAAAGTCAAGCAAAGAGATGCAGCAAGAGGAACAGAGGGGGATACAACTTTGCTCTCAAGGAGTTATATCCCTTGGAATGGTCAATGTGATTTTAAGTTTCCATACTGCGGAGCTGCATCTCTCCCAGTGTGCATTACTGACAATACTCCATGCTTATATAGCTGCTCTGAGGCTCTGTCTTAGTACAGCATTGCTGGGGGAGAAGAGGTAAGGTAGAACACTGAGCCTCCAACAGCTATCTGGGAAATATCTGATAATGCTGGACATAACAGAAGGGTCAGGCCTGCAGTTTATAATAAGGACTTTGAAATCCTAACAAATTCCACTGTTCAAAGTGAACAGTTTGTAGCTCAACTGTGCTGGAATTGAATCATAAATAAATCAAATGTTGCTGCAATAACACTGTCAGTACATTCAGGCTGAATACTAGGAAAAAAATATTCTTAGAGTGGTGAAGCACTGCAACAAGCTGCCTGTGGAGATGATGGATTCACTGTCTCAGAGGTGCTCAAGTGGCAGTGGAGGATGTTATCAAGCATGGTGAAGGTGGTCTCACCATGGTTGGACTAGATTTAGAAGTCTTTTCCAACCTTAATGATTCTGTAAGAATGAGTTACTTCATCTTACACTGCATATACTTATACATATGTGTGAGGTAACACAAAGTTTTTGAGTGAGGAAAAAACAATGGCGGTGTAGTAAAAGTAATTCCTCCATCTACTGCAACGCCAAGTGGAGGTAATGCAGAGACTGAACTGCAGGGTAGTTTGTAAATGGCAGCAAATCTGTTCCTCTTTAAACACTCAGCAAACCAGCTATACTTTTTCCCTTTCTAAGCATCAAGGAAGAAAAAATGGAATGTAGTTAGCCTAGGCAGACATGTAGAGTGACAGTGCAGATGGGAACAAGTGAAATACCATGTGTTATAGGAGCTTGAAAACTGGAGCAGCAATTCTTTCTGCTGTGGGTCAGTACAAACATCAAGTGTCAAATTCAGAATATTATATTCTTTCTCCCTAGCTAATGTCTAAATGTTGCAGAGCTGAATACCAGCATTTAAAGGTGATTGGAGCATACTTTTCTCCAGTTACTCAGTTAGGGCATGAACTAATAACAAGGTTTACTGGCTTACCCAATCAAACGCTTCTGTATTTTACAGTTCTACAGGAAAAATATAAGAGCCATAAATGAAGCTTAAACTGAGCCATCTGCTTTCCTTGATTTCCTTCCACATTTCTTACTGCTCCTCATCCTACTGAGCACACCCACGCTAACCCGTCCTCCTCAGTCAGTTTTCTGTGACAGAGTATCTTTTCTGAGCTGAAACTATTTAATGAATTCATTGAATTTCTGAGCTGAAGATATTCCACGAGCATAAATCTACAAATTTTTTTTGAATATCTAAGATTTACTTCCCAGAGGATTTACTATCAATACAAATCTGTTTGCTAGCCTCTATCTGTGAAAATATAATGCTCGAATAGTAATTTACACAATAATCATTCAAACATGAAAAACAAATGTTTCTCCTGCTAAAAGCATAGGCCATGCAAAACTATTGAAACCCAAGCGGAAATTTTTAGAGAACAATAGACTGCCTAGTGTCAATTCATCTCAATGACATGAAAATCTCTTCAGTATATAAACATTTTTAACTTACCCGAGCAGTGACTTATTTAAAACCCCACTTCACTTAAAATGTTTGTTACTGTTAGTATGATATTCCTGATAACCTGTACTTCCACTACTACCAGGAATCACAGAATGGCCAGGGTTGGAAGGGACCTCAAGGATCATGAATCTCCAACCCCACTGCCACATGCAGGGCCACCAACCTCCCCATGTAATACTAGACCAGGCTGCCCAGGTCCCCATCCAACCTGGCCTTGAACACCTCCAGGGACAGGACATCCACAGCCTCTCTGGGCAGCCTGTTCCAGCACCTCACCACTCTCTCTGTAAAGAATTTCCCTGTCATCCAAACTAAATCTTCCCTCCCTCAACTTAAAGCCATTTCCTCTCATCCTGCAGTTATCTACCCTTTCAAAGAGTTGATTCCCCTCCTGTTTGTAGGCTCCCTTCAGGTCATGAAATGCTGCAATGAGGTCACCCCGCAGCCTTCTTTTCTCCAGGCTGAACAAGCCCAGCTCCCTCAGCCTGTCTTCACAGGGGAGGTGCTCCAGTCCCCTGATAATCTTCATGGCTTCCCTCTGGACCCTCTCCAACAGCTCCCTGTCTTTCTTGTACTGAGGGCACCAG